AAAAAAAGTTCTTTGTAGTAGACTACGGGCTTTTGCTTAATTCATGTTTAGCCCATACACATAGTTCTACATTCAACTAATCCTGGAACAGCCCTGTTAGTTTGTTATTATTTAACTTGACATCATCTTTTAATTTTATAGGGGATGTCAATACTGACTCTTTCAGCATCAGTTCCTATGCTCATGCCTCCATCCTGTGAAGGATCCTTTTGCCCACCAGCAAGCCCTTTTCAGTATACTGTCTTTTTTCTTGGCCTTTATCTGATTGCCCTGGGTACTGGTGGAATTAAGCCGTGCGTCTCATCCTTTGGAGCGGATCAATTTGATGATACAGATCCAGCTGAGCGGATTCAGAAGGGTTCTTTCTTTAATTGGTTCTATTTTTCAATAAACATTGGTGCTCTCATATCAAGCAGCTTTCTGGTTTGGGTGCAAGACAATGTAGGATGGGGACTGGGCTTTGGCATTCCAACTGTATTCATGGGGCTGGCAATCATAAGCTTCTTCTCTGGCACATCACTTTACAGGTTCCAAAAACCAGGAGGTAGTCCTATTACACGAGTATGCCAGGTGATTGTTGCCTCTTTGCGAAAGTGGAATGTGCCTGTCCCAGAGGACATCTCTCTCTTGTATGAGCTACCTAATGGGGTATCAACAATTGAGGGGAGTCGGCAAATAGAGCACACAGATGAACTCAGGTATGCCATCTTATGAGATGATAGTAAAAGCAACTACGAACTGAGATAGATTGTGAGGCTGTATGAGATAAAGATATGTGAAGCTGCTTGCTCGTAAACGAGTAAATTTTCAGATACATAATAAATAATCCACGATTGATTGATTGTCATACTTCAGAAACTGCAAATAATTATTCCTTAGTAAAGAATAGTAGTTGATGTCGCTATGACGCTTGTACGGAACAAAGTTCTTTGCATAGGAAAGCGTCCTGCTGTCTGCCCATGAACAGGAATTTGTTGAGAAATAAAGAAGGCATTAGGCCTGACAGATAGCTTTCTCATACTCTGTTCTTGAATCAGACACTCAATTAGAAATACTTCAGTGTTCAGACTCTTTCATTAAATCAGCACATTATACCTTTGTGATTGATCAACTTCCCAATTTGGTATTATTTGTTTTTCAACACATCTGTCCTCGAATGTAAATAAACAAAGCAGAAAGTTACTCTTGGAGAAAAATCAACCTCATGCAGAAATAGACCTCATATACTGATGGGAACGGCAAAATGATTTTGATGTCCTCTCTGCTTACTTATAATTGGATGGTATGGTATGCCATTCGGTACATACTTGCAACACATATGTTTAGTGCATCAGAGAGTAGCCATTCAGTGCATGCTCACAGCATATACAATTAGTGCATGGAGTGTATAGTTTTGGAGGAATTACTTACCATTAGTGGTTATGAACTGTATAGAAATAATATATTTATAGTATAACCTAGCAGAGAACCATAATCAAGAACAAAATTTTAATTGGTTACTTCTGAAAATAGTTCTTTTACTTAGTTCCACATCAGTTCCTGATTTTTGCTTTTCAGGATTTATGTTTATATATACTAAATTGCAACTTTGTAAGCACACATACTCCTTTTTTTTCTCTCTGTTATTTTGCCTAATAGATGAATGAATATTTATGACTTGTTTTGGGATAGCTGATCGCCTTCTTTCCCATTGTGTGGAAGCTTAGAGCCAACATATTTGAACCGATTTTTTACTCAGATGTTTAGACAAGGCTGCTACAGTTACCGAAGTTGATGTGAAAACAGCTGACTTCAACAACCCATGGCGGATATGCACTGTGACCCAGGTGGAAGAACTGAAGATACTAGTAAGAATGTTCCCTGTCTGGGCAACAACAATAGTGTTTTCTGCTGTATATGCTCAGATGTCGACAATGTTCGTGGAACAAGGGATGGTGCTTGACCCATCCTTGGGTTCTTTCAAGATTCCTCCAGCTTCACTATCTACTTTTGACACCCTAAGTGTCATCATATGTGTCCCGATGTACGATTACATCGTGGTTCCAATAGCCAGGAGATTCACTGGCAACGAGAGGGGCTTTACAGAGTTGCAGAGGATGGGCATTGGCCTGGTAATTTCCATCATAGCTATGTCAGTCGCTGCAGTCCTCGAAATCAAGCGGCTAGCAGTTGCCAGGGAAGCACACCTGGTGGATCAGAATGTCCCAGTCCCACTGAGCATATTCTGGCAAATCCCTCAGTATTTCCTGATTGGTCTATCGGAGATTTTCACATTCATTGGAGCGCTAGAGTTCTTTTACGACCAGTCACCAGACGCCATGAGGAGCCTCTGCAGCGCACTTAATCTTCTCACTACTGCAGGCGGGAACTATCTCAGCACGTTCATTTTGACAATGGTCGCGTACTTTACTACAAGGGGAGGTAACCCTGGATGGATTCCTGACAACTTGAACGAAGGGCATCTTGATTACTTCTTCTGGCTCCTTGCTGGCCTCAGTTTTCTGAACCTGATTGTATATGTCATCTGTGCTGGCAAATACAAGGGCAAGAAGGCAGCTTGAGTTGTGAAGGTCAGGAACTGGACTGCACGCCATGTTTCCTTGGACACTTATTAACTTCATTCAAAAATCTGTATATATGTTTCCCACATTCACTCTAGCTGCGAAGCTTATATTTCTCATTGTACTGTACTAAGTTGATTTTACATTCGTACTTCCACTTTCTGTATATATTGCTGAATATATAGACATCTCACTTTTCACATGCCTCTACTCTACTATCAAGGATTTAATTTGATTGCTGTCTTTTTCCTGATTTGATTGCTGTCGCGATCTCCTTTCCCACACCTTCCCTGACCCCCGCATATATGCGGTCAGTCATGTTTTGACTCATGTATGCATCAATGTGCTGGTTGAACACAAACAGGGCTTGGGACATGACTTACCTTCTGTACATTCATCTGTAAATACAAAGGCGCCCCATTCTGGCATTCTCTGATGGCACGTTGTGAGTTGACCGTGGTTTTGGTTGGTTCAGTTGGTTGTCTGATTGTCTCTGTATCGGACACGCATATTTGCCTGCCGTCTTGTTTGTTCTGGTTCCACTCCGGAAATATGAGTACTGGAAGCTGATGAAACATGCAGTCTTGTTTGTTCTGGTTCCACTCCGGAAAGATGAGTGAAGCTGATGAAACATGCTGGTTAATTAGCATGGCAGTAGTAACACATTAGCAGATACAGACTCCTTCCAGGACAGTCAAGTCTCAGGCAGGCTCTCAGCACGGTAATCCCTGTTGTCCTCATGCCGCAGCAGCAACCGGACCAGGTCTTTCTAGGGAGAGAGCAACGGACAGAAAATCCTCACCCCCGTCCTGAGTCCTGACACCCCACCTATTCCTCCCAAGAATGCGCAGTGTAGTTCGCCCGCGTCCAGACGCCCGCGCGCTAACCCGTTTCCCTGCACCATGTCTCCCCACGCTGCCTGACCACAGGTGAGGACCGCCCGGATGTCTCCACGCCCACTCGGCGGCGCCATCCCTTAATCTCCCAACAACATGAAACACGTGCAACATGAAATACTTGAATACAACGTACGTCTAAAACAGATAAAATATCTTGAAACATACAATTGCAACTCCCAGACGGAGATCTCGGACTCCCAATCGACGGGCACCCGGACGGCATGTCCCCAAAACTAACCAATTCCCTGGAGTTGGGTCAGGAACTGCTAAGCAGCGGGCTCAACGAGGGCCCTATCCATGCACGGTGCGCTCCCCACACCCTGAACTACGTTGCTAAGGTCGACTGATTGCTGTTTAACGCTGCAATATGCATTGTATTGTTAAGTTGACTAATGTGACGCTGGTTTCTCACCGAAAGACAGACCCGACTCCAGGCAATTAGCATTAGCATGGTCAAGGCGTTGCGGTTAACGACGTGGGGGTAGCATGGGAGCACGTCGGACCAGGAGCGAAGCTGCGGCGGGAACGTGGGCTACCGGCCTTGACTCTGACCTCTGACCACCGGTTTTCAGTTGGCCGTATACGTACGCATCAATTCATGCATACCTTCTATCACCGTACCAACCGGTCGATGACTGAAGCGCCCGTTCGTTTTCTAGCGAAAGTGCTTGTAAAAATCTGCCTCCAGGATATATCATTGTGAGTCCAAGTGGTAAAGTAGATCAACTAAACAATCTGTCGCGTTTGCGTTTGTCTGGCAGGACAGGAGGTGAGGTACAGGCTGACTCGTCGCTAGCATGCAGTTGCAAATGACATGACACAATGTGTGTCCTGGACAAGAACGCACGCTTGGCGTCCACGGGGTCTGTACTCACTGTGGTTCGATGAGAAAGCGAGGATAGGAAAAAGAAGTGAAGAAAACAAGGTTGCGATGCGGCCTACAGGGCTTACAGGGCCAACATGCCAGCAACTCCTCCTCCTCAGCCGCGCAGGCCGCACGTAGGCCAACCAACGGACGAATCATTGCAACGCGCGGCCGGCCGCCGGCCGGGAATCGCGTCCGTCGTCTTCCTCCTCCTCCTCCTCCTCCCCTCCCAACTACCCAGCTGGACGGCAGCTAGCTACCATTCTCTTCCGCACCTTTCGTCCGTCGTTTCCCTCTTGCCATATAAAGATCGGTTAGTCCAAAGCTTGCCGGCCGGCTTTGCGAACAAATTGCAATATTTGCACGTACAGAACCGCGGATCGAGCGACCGTGGTTGCATTGCTGCTTCCCCTTGGATCTGAGGTTTTCAGGCCGGCACACGGGGGGTTTCAGGATGTGGTGCTGCAGCGGCGCGGAGGACGAGCCCCACGCCGCCCCGCTGGCGGCCGCCAACCCGGCCGCGACGCCGCCGCGAGCACCAGGTTCTTCCCTCTCCCTTTCTCCTCGTTTGGGTCTTGCTGTTGCTGGCGCCATGGCTCGCTATCGCTAGCTAGCTCACCGTGCGCATTACGTTGCAATGATGATGTGAGTGCAGCACAGCCGAGAGGGCCGAACATGCCGAGAAGCGGCGCCGCGTCTGCGGCCAAGGTGCTGCCCATCGACGTCCCGGACGTGGCGCTGTCGGAGCTGAACCGGCTCACGGGCAACTTCGGGGACAGGGCGCTGGTCGGGGAAGGCTCCTACGGCCGCGTCTACCGCGCCAAGCTCGCCACCGGGGAGACCGTGGCGGTCAAGATGTTCGACAACGGCAGCTCCTCCGGCCAGTCAGAGGCCGAATTCTGCGAACAGGTGACACGAAAAGCATGCCTTTCTTCCCCCATTTACGCGTGGCTGAATAGCCCAAACTAACGCGTTGATGCCTGCTCTCGATCGGTGACTGCAACTGCAATGCAATCTGCAGCTGTCCGTGGTGTCCCGGCTCAAGTGCGAGCACTTCACCCAGCTGCTGGGCTACTGCCTGGAGCTCAACAACCGGATCGTGCTCTACCAGTTCGCCACCATGGGCTCCCTCTACGACATACTCCATGGTACGGTGCAAAGCAGAGCCTCACCATCAGTCCATGACGGCGTCGCATGACCATCGGTTGCATGCATCGCATCGCAGGGAAGAAGGGGGTGCAGGGCGCCGAGCCCGGGCCCGTGCTGACGTGGAGCCAGCGCGCGCGGATCGCGTACGGGGCGGCGAGAGGCCTGGAGTACCTGCACGAGAAGGCGCGGTCGTCGATCGTGCACCGCGACGTGCGCTCCAGCAACGTGCTGGTCTTCGACGGCCACGACGCCAAGATCGGCGACTTCAACCTCACCAACCAGTCCCCCGACTCCGCCGCGCGCCTGCACTCCACCAAGGTGCTCGGCACGTTCGGCTACCACGCGCCCGAGTAAGCACGCACGCACGCATGGCGCGCCACCACTAGTGTCTCCGTTGGATTCTCGACACGACACGACTCTTCCTCAACGTGCGTTTGCATTGTCGATTGATCAGGTACGCGATGACGGGGCAGCTGACGCAGAAGAGCGACGTGTACAGCTTCGGCGTCGTGCTCCTTGAGCTCTTGACAGGGAGGAAGCCCGTGGATCACACCATGCCCAAGGGGCAGCAGAGCCTGGTCACCTGGGTAGGTTCCTTCCTCTCCATTCTTTTCCTCCATGGCCGACCCGGTCGAGATGCCAACCTCACATCTCACTGCGTATGCAGCATCTCTGCGTGAATTCAGTCGCCTAATTAATCAACAAATTTCTGGCATGTCCAGGCCACTCCGAGACTGAGCGAGGACAAAGTGAAGCAGTGCGTGGATTCCAAGCTCAAGGACGACTACCCGCCAAAAGCCGTGGCCAAGGTACGCCGCCGTTGAAGTTTGAACACGCACGGCATTTCCCCATTTCCTCTGCGCTAGCATTTCCCTTGTGAATTGTGATCCTGTTCTGAGGTGTGCCTCTCGATCTGCAGCTCGCGGCGGTGGCGGCGCTGTGCGTCCAGTACGAGGCCGATTTCAGGCCCAACATGACGATCGTCGTCAAGGCTCTGCAGCCCCTCGTGAATGCTCGCCCAGGAGGAGAATCACCACTCACCAGTAGCTAGATAGACACACAGAGAGTGGGCATAATAGTGTCGTCGCTCGCCCTGCGCCGCTGTGATCGAGCAAGTTTTTGGACGTCGTAATTCATGTCTACGGCATTTCCGTCAAAATGTTGTCAGCAACGGCCTGCTTGGCCTGTTTAAGAGAGTGTAACCGTGTCACTGCGTGCGAAATGTGGAATTAAATCAATTTATTATTCGCAAATTCAGGCCTTACAAGTTACAAGCTGGACTTGAAAAATAAGTGGCCATATATGCGCTGCGACATGCTACTAGATTTGACAATCTGTCTCAGAAGTGAAGGCCTTCAGCTCCAATTTCAGAGTTGGAACTCGAGGGCCAGAATTTGTGTAACATGAATGAAAAGCCGTAGGGGCCCCGGCCCCTCCAGAGTTAACAAAAAAAAATGAACAACCTAAAAATTCTCTGCTCTAAAGTCAGAAATATCAGGGCTCTACTCGATCTGGAACAAGAAAATTGGCTGAACTGACAAGAGTCGAGGCCCCATGAGCCCAACTAATAAATCCCCTTTCACAAAGCCCTCCTACGTGTGAATTATTTTGGCCCAGTCACTGCTCATGACTCTAGCCGGTCCTTCTTTCAGCTGAATCTTTGTTCCCCTCATTTGCTGCATGGCCACCTGCCGTCTGCTGTACTCTCGAGTCTCGATAGATGTCGGTGTGTCACCGTGACAGTAGCTCATCCTTTAAGTACATGGACATGGAGTAACAAGTACGAGTAATTAGGACAACGCGAACGGTGGCACGTTGAGGCCTTCAGGGCCGGCCGTCCACTGATGCGACAGACAACAGAGAGGAGTATGGCCAGGTGTTCGTTCGCTCAAACTTATCATGCTTCGGCCAGTGTTTTCTCTCACAACAAATTAGACTTTTCAGTCGAGTTTTTCAGCGAGGTGAACATGACCTAGTCACTTGAGACAGGGACAAGCGAGGTATCCTAGTGGCCTAATCACAGTCACAATCACAAAGTTCCCGATACGAAGGGTACAAGAAACACAGTACACACAATGTGGATCGACAATTTCAAGTTCTCGATTTGTTTGGGTACCATTTGGGACGATCGGTTCAAATAGAGGAATCTGAATCTCTAAATAATTAAAACGATATACTTGGAATGTAGCTATGGAATGAGGATCGTGCTCATGGAATATTTGGATATAGACAGGTTGTCTTTGCATTCACCTTGTTCCTCTTTACATTCTGGATGCATTCATAGATACTCCAAAGTCTCTGTTGCAGCGTATGGGCTGGAGGCCCATTTGCTTTAGGTCTCTCCATCGGACATCAGACATCGTCACTGAGTCGGTCGATGACCGCGAATGCCCGGTCGCCGCACCGCACCAACGCCAACGCGCTGGTGATGTTACTAAGGATTGACGGTATAATTGGTGTCTTCATGATGTTAAACAAGGGCTTAGTTGCAAGGCTAGAAAAGTTTCACCTCGGCGTGGCTAGCACCCGAACATCCGGATGCTAGCCCTAGTCCGAACGCCCGCGCGCTGCCCATCTGTGGCGCAAGCTGCTGCGCTTCCCGCCCGCACGGCCCCTGCTGCTACGCCTACCCGACGTTCGTGCGCTCGTTGGGTAGGGTCTCCCTGCCGAGCTTGAACTGCCACGACGACATGGAGGGAAGGGAAGGGAAGGGAAGGGAAAGGCCGAGGCGCGTCGCGAGAGGTAGGAGCCGAAGCCTTGCGGCAGGCCGCCGTCCACCAGCCACCAGTGCCATTGTAACATGTGCAACACCAGATCTACTTTTGAAACACCCAGATAAACACATTTGCAACATAAGTCTGAAACATATGAAGCACTTGAAACATGTGGATGTAGCCATTGCAACATGTGCAACGCTAAGATCTACTTCTAAAACATCCAGATGAAACATTTAATTTGCAACATGCGTTAAAGTATTTTTTTTATTGCAACATATGCAACATCCCCGATATACTAAGCTAAAAAAACATCCCAGATATACTGTTGCAACATCCAAATAAAACACTTGAAACAAAAGTTTGAAACGTCTGAAACAATTGAAACACAATGCTCGCCTGCGATGCCATGGCCTACCTGGTGAGGAACTGCGGTAGATCGGCGAGGAGTACAGGGAGCGGAGGAGGGAGCCCTGGTGGGGGGGCGTTGGAGTGGCAACGGCGAGCTTGAGCCGAGTAGGGAGGTCGAGGCGGGCCGCCGCCCAGAGGGCCCCCGCGAGGAGTGCCATCTCCCAGGCCACCCCCGACGCCGTGGGCTGCTCCAACACCCTCGCCACTGCTGACAACATGTACCCCATCGAAGCCGGTCCGGCCGAGCAGCGACGACATGGGGGCGGATGTGGTGGTGCATGTGTGGGTGGTGGTGGGGATGGGGAGGAGATGGGGCGCGCGGCGTGGTGTAGGATGGAGCGTGACGCCGGAATGGGGAGTCCGGTGGGCGTCCACGTCGCGGGCAGGAGCGAGTCGCGGGGAAAGATAGTAGCAGTGAGGCGGGTGTATGGGCGCGCGACTTCCGGATAAGGGTGGACGCCCGTGTCAGAGCATTATTTGGAGACGGGTCATGAGATATTTGATTCCGCTTCATTCCTTTCGTCCATAAGCCAAAGTTCTTAGGAGACGTACTCGTGTTGCTGAGGATTGATGATACGAGTATGGTTGGTGTCTCCATAATGTCAAACAAGGCCTAAGAAGATGTACATCTTGCAAGCATGGAAAGTTTTCACCTCTCCAATATTACGGGTGGGTCATGAATTATCTGATTCTACTCCATTCCTTTGGTCCAGGAGCCAAAGTTCTTAGGAGATCAACTACTGTTACTGAGGATTATTGATGGTACAATCGGTGCCTCCGTAATGTCAAATAAGGGCTTGGACGATGCACCTTGAAAATTTCCACCTCTCCTTGAAATTTCCACCTCTCCTATATTGCAGACAAATCATGAATTGTGTGGTTCTGCTCTGTTTCTTTTGTCCACGAGTGAAAGGTCGAGATGGCGGACTAGAGGGGGGTGAATAATCTTTTCTAAAATTAATCGCGTCGGCTAACCGATATAAATGCGGAATTAAAACAATCGGTCTAACCAAGACTACACCCCTCTATATATGTTCACTAGCACCTTGCTAAGATACCAATTATGCAACAAAGGTCTTGGGCTAGTTAGAGCTCTCCTAATAATTCTAAGACAAGGTTACATAAACCTATGCCACTAGTATTTTAAGCAACAAGAGAGCCCTACACATGCTAGTAAGCAAAAGCACAAAGCTAACTATGCTCACTAGCAATATCCTAACAAGGCAACCAATGCCTAATTAGAGAGCGCAAGTTTAGCTACACAAACTAAGCAATGTGACTAACAAGGTTACTAAAACCAAATTAGCCACGCAAGAAACTACTTCTATACTACACAAGCAAGAAGGTAATTAGAGCTACAAAGCTATCTAATTATAAGACAACTACACAAGCTTAATATATATGAAAGTAAATGCAGGCTTGTGTAATGGGAAGCAAAACCAACGGGAAGAAAAAGGTTGACACGATGATTTTTCTCCCGAGGTTCACGTGTTTGCCAACACGCTAGTCCCCGTTAGTGTCGACGCTCACTTGGTGGTTCGACGGCTAATTAGCATCACCCGCTAAGCCCGCAAACGCCGCAAGAACCTACCCCTTGAGTGAGGGTAGCTCAATGACACGCTTTACTAAAGTTGCTCTTCTCCGGCATATCCCCTCACAAAGTTTCTCCGGGCCCCGCACAAGCTTCTTGGGGGCTTGATAGACCACCACCAAGCCGCGTCGGGAGGTGGCAACCTCCAAGAGTAACAAGCACCACCGTCACCTAGTGCCACTCGATGCAACCTTACGATGCAATTGCACTAGAATCGCTCACTCACACAATCGAATGATCACTATCAAGTATATGTGTGATGGAGGGCTCCCAGCACTCACAAGCATGGACACTAAGTCCCCTTAGGTGCTCTACTCCAGCCATAGCCGAGGGCCACTTCTATTTATAGCCCCAAGGAATAAACTAGCCGTTACCCCTTCACTTGGGCAAAAGTCGGGCTGACCGGACGCTCCGGTCGAGCTGACCGGACGCTGACTCTCATTCCTCCGGTTCGTCCAGACAAACCACCCAGCGTCCCCATCCCAGCGGTCACTTGACTGACCGGACCTTGACGGTTCTATCGACTAAGCCCGGCGTCCGGTCGTTTCGATAAGCTCCCCGAGGCATATTTTCTCCACCGGACGCACGTCCACCTTGACCGACACACGGACCAGCGTCCCAACAATACCCTGATGACAAAGCAGAACCCGTTAGTTTGATTATTCGGTCGTCAATGTTATCTTCGCGATCAACTTTTTCACTTCTAACTTCTTCACCCTTGCTCCAATGTGCCAACCACAAGAATTTGCATCCGGCGCAATAGAAAATAGGCATACCATTTCCCGGCGCCAATCAAGTGCCAACACCACCAAGTGTACACCACCATGTGTATGTGTGTTAGCTTTTCACAATCATTTCCCAAAGGATGTTAGCCACTCAACTTGCCACGCCCACTGATCCTAGCGGCGATGCAAAGTTAGATCACCTTCGAGTGGCACTAGATGACCGATATGCAAACAAGTTTGCTCCTCTTGATAATTGCCATCTATCCTAAACCCGGTCATCAACTTCTCTACACACCTATGACCGGTGAAATGAAATGCCCTAGGTTATACCTTTGCCTTGCGCATTCCATTCCATCTCATCCAACGTCGATACAACACATGCACCAACACGATCAACAATGATATGATCCACTTCATATCATCACGTGATCATATTGGTTCATCGATCTTGACTTCACTTTGCTCTTCACCGTTGCCATCGTCTATCGGCACCAAGTCTTGCTCAAGCTTCACCGCCACACGGTCCATCACTCCAAAGCCTCCGACTTGCCCTTCACGCTTGCAACCGGTCCATCAAGCCAAGTCTTGTCTTGATCTTCTCCACCTTGAT